GGGGGCGGCGGTGGCGTTGGCGGCGGTGGCGGCGGCGGCGTTGGCGTCGGCGGCGGTGGTGGTGCTGTGGACTCTGGTGTACACTGCAGTAATACCGCTGGAACGAAGGAACAGCTACTGACTAACTGCATTGCCGCACAAGCGCAACGCTTACAGCATCCTTCGCCAGGTATTCGCTACCGCAACTTGGGCAAAAGCGGTCTACGTGTTTCCAATGTTGGATTAGGTACGCTGAATGTTTTCCCTCACTTTCGTAGAAACGAACAGAATCGCGATTACCCACCCGTTTTATTCCATCTCGATGTATGCCTTAATGTAAACCTTTTTTCAGATAGTAGCTTGCTAATGATATCTGTTAACGTTATTTCTTTTAGGCTATAGAATACGAAGAACAATGCAAATTATGCTTTTATCCCATCCATGGACAGTATTTCATCGGTCTCCTCGACCATTTATATCTCTGTTTCCCTTTTTTCCCCTTTCTTTTGCTTATTTTTCATACTTGTCGTTGCAACCTTAACGTCTGCCAACGTGGGCATGCGAGCTTATCGTGTATATTTTTGTAGCAAGATTTACGCAATGTACAAACAGTGTTGAATACAAACGATGTAACACGTAAACAAACAGATGGAAGGTAATATAACGTTTTATATGACATCGTTTTAATATTTTACCACTTTGTTGTCACATTTATCGTCATGGCGGTCGTTCTCGTTGTCCTCGTCGTCGTTTCTGTCACGACTTCAACTGTACCTATAAAGAAGTATAACGAACTTTTAAAAGATTTTACTCGGAAATGCTTGATATTATATTATATCAAATCTACTGGAAAATATGCTGTTAAAATATGCTGTTTGATGTAAAACCTCGTTCATATAAATATTTGTTGAATGTTTGCGACTTGAGAATAAAATGATGAAATAATGAAAGCAGATGAATAAATGAGAGAAGATAAAAGAAGGAAAAATGATAAAGGAGTTTGTGGAGTGAACGGAAAAGGATTGTTACCTACGAAATGCGTAATAATCAATCATAACTATGAATAGCTTAAAATCTTGGACTTTAACTTATTCGCGGATTACTAAACCGACGACAATGGCGACAATGGCGACAATGGCGACAATGGCGACAATGGCGACAATGGTGACGATGGCGACGACGGCGACGATGGCGACGATGAGGAGAACGACGACGAGGACGATGAGGAGAACGACGACGAGGACGACGAGGACGACGATGGCAATGATGACGATGGCAATGATGATGAGAATAATAGGAGATGAAAGGTAAGTAAGTATGCGTGATATTTTAGGGTTGATATTCGAATGGTGTAAGCAGTCTGTATAGCGACATGTAACGGTAGGTGAAAACGTGGAAATGTCGCAGCATCGTAGCAGTTGATAACGATGAAAAAATTGAATCGATTTATGGTACATAAGGGCAGGTAAACTAACGGAATTACTTTATCCGCGTAGGTACGTGGACAACTTTTGGCATAGGAGGTTGCAGTAACGAGGAAACAGCTGAAGCTGTGGTTGCTCTCGCCTACGATAGCGGAATAAATGTGTTCGACTTGAGCGAAGCTCATAGCGGTCATAGAGCAGAAATTCAATTTGGACGAATTTTATTACGTCGAGCTTGGAATCGTTCGAGTTACGTCGTTACTACCAAGATATATTGGAATACGAAGTGAGTATTGGTCGTATATTGGCTCGTCTAAATGCTTGATAAAAGACATAATGCTGAAAGAATGATTGGTTGGAAGAACGAGGATCAGTGTTAAAAATTTTTTAAGGTGAAATACTCATTCTTAGCGATAAATCTTGTCCAATTAACGAACGATTTGTCATATGTGCAACAGATAAACTTATGAAACTTGATCACAGGGCGGAGGGTCGTGGGTTGTCACGGAAACACATAATCGAATCAGTGCAAGCATCTTTAGTCAGATTACAATTATCGTACATCGATATCGTAATGATTCATAAAGTAGATCCAATGTGTCCCATGGAAGGTTCGTTCTTCGCTTACAGCACTATAAATTCTATATAAATAATAGAAATACTTTTTTTTATCCTCTTTCAGAAATAGTACGTGCTATGAATTACGTGATAAGCAAAGGGTGGGTAATGTACTGGGGGACGTCTCGTTGGAGTCCCGTAGAAATAATGGAAGCTTATACGAATTGTCGGCAATTTAATTGTGTCACGCCGATAGTAGAACAAGCCGAATATCATTTGTTTTATAGAGAAAAACCGGAACTTTATATGCCAGAGTTGTACAATAAAATAGGTAATTAAAACATTGAATATTCATTTTACCTGGCACATATATATATGTGCCATATTTTCTTCTCTTCTCTAAAAACATATTTTCTCGAGGAAGATGAGAGATGGTTAACGAGATATGATTTCCGGTAGGTGTCGGTCTGATGGCGTGGTCCACAGTTACAATCGGTATGGTTTCTTCGAAACCCGAAGACTGTGGTGTCTCTTTTTTATCGAGATCTTCCTATAAGGTAACGTGCTCAAAAAAAAAAAAAAAAAAAAAGAAAAAAAGAAAAAAAAATAAAGAAAAAAAAAGTAAAAAAATAAAAAAATAAAAAATAAAAAAAAAAGAAATAGAGAAAGAAAAGAAAAGGAAAAAAGAAAAAGGAAAAAAGAGAAGGAAAGGAAAAAGAAGAATTTCTTCATAGACTATAGAAAAATTGAGAATTTCGTTAAAACAATTTCCTCCCAGTAACTACATATTTAACGTCAACGACGTGTTGTGACAAGTATAAAGATAAATGTGTCGCCACCGACTAATAGTCGCAACGTTTCATTTTTTTAATTTCAGAATAAGTATTCGTCGTTCAGTTGGACGGAAGACGAAACGCAATCTTTGTACAAAGAAGTACGTATTCGAATTAACGTATGGTAACGTTTCTTTAACCTACCAATCTATGTGTATAATCTATGTTATAAAATATACATGTGTATACATTTGCCGACAATTCGTCGTATGTGTATACATGTATGTGTGTATACATGTATGTGTGTGTGTGGGGGGGGGG